ATCAGCTGATACCACGTATATTTTAGTCTACGTGACCTACCATCACGGCAGCAACCTATCCGTTCTCCTGCGTAGGAACATACTGGCGCTTTTAAAGCTATCTTGATAGCAAATGAAACTTTCATTTTTAAAATAATCGGAGTTGATATCCATTGTAGACAATTTATTAAATTGGACGCTTACTCTAGTTAGCGATCAGCTGCGAACGCTTAGACTCTATAATAAATTCAATCAGTCTTCGAAATTTTGTCTCTGCTTTTGTTATTTACTCTTCTAGTTTTTTTCATGTTTCAGCACTCTTTATGTGCAGTCGGAAGCGCATTTGGCTCGTCCTTCTGCAATTTATCGCATCCTAAGCAACTGTTATATGAGTTTTTGTTAAGTTTTTGTGTGTTTATTCTACGATTCATTTGTTTGTAGATTCTACTGGGAAAGTAATAAGATATTAATATGTTCATTTATTTCCCGACTAATTATCTCTGGCTGACTTAGTAACCTACAATTCTAGATTTATACTGAGTAACACGTTTGCTAGGCTGAGATAGAGTGGACATGTTTCTTCTTTTTCTGGCACGTTTAGGTCTAATTCTGAATGTGTGTATCCAGAATACTTTACCAATTTCCCACATATGAAACCCATGTAACCGTCTGCTATGACCTATTTCAGCGCGGAACACAATCTCGTGTGCACCAGTCTTTTTCATCATTTGGAAGCGTGCTAATGGATGTAAATAATACGCTTTTTTCTAATGGTCATGATTAATTTTTCAAGTTTTTAACTTGCAAACATGTTTTGAATGATGTTACTTAGGGCCCTCAGAGATGTCCTGGTAATTTTTGAAAAGTATTTATGCAATTTTTCAGTTAATTAACACATAAATTCTAGGATCTCCAGCTACTGGACATATAACCGCTGTATTGGCATTTAAAAGTAATATATCGGTTCTCCCTTTCATTTACGCTACATACCAAAGGAGTTACATTGCTGAATCACAAAATACTGACAAGCAGTTTTGCCCTCGACAGTTGAACACAAACTTAGCAAATAGGCCAGTTATAGCAGCCTCATGTCTCGTCTATTTTACGTACAACATTTTTTATTTCCTTGCCGATTGGATGGCTTGATCTTTAGCCACAACATCCTTTCATTCTACTAGAAATAGACCAATCATTTCCGGTAGTAAATAGCCGCCTCTAGGCAACAGGCAACATTGTCGGAAGTAAGAAGTGAAGCCGAAAACCGTTAATACAAGAGCAATCGCATCCTAAAACCAACAGGTTTATAGAGCTACGGGCTTGTGATCGCCACCTAAGTGGCGTGACTCCAAGACTGCAGTCATATCAGTCAACCAGTAAATCCCTAGCGTTGACCATTCTGAGACGGTCGATTTATTGATCGCACATCAGTGTTGCTAGGGTTTTACACAGATTTTGGAGCCTTCACAATCGCCGAATGTATATTTCACCGCGTTTTTTAAGCAGAGTTCGGTTGCATCAGACCACGTTCGATTCAACCAACTCGAACGTCGACGTCCCAACAATTGTATCTAATAGTGTATAGTAAGACAAGTAAACCGTAATATCTGCTATTGTGCAGCCATATACGCGTTCTCCTATATATGCACATAGATTAGGTCATTAAAAGTCAATACTTTTGCGGGAATAGCCTCAGTTTTTTCGTATTAACGCCGGTTGCTTACAGACAACTCACAACGCATTGTGATATTGTTTCTTGAAATGCATCATGTTTTCCGTAAGTTTTATTTGAGAAACTGCTCCTTCACTTTCTGACCTGCGTACGTATCTTTTTTTTCTCATACCAGGCGACTGTCAATGTAGTTTCTAGAACATTCAAATGTTATTGTTTTGGACACCAGTCGCCTACCCTGCCGGTACTATCGAATATAAATTCGCTGACTATATCCATTAGGAAACTAGAAAAGTGTTTATATAATAAATTTTCGACTACTTTTTGTCCCTTTTTTCAGAAGATGCATTTGCTATTTAATAACCCATAGATAAGCAGACTACTCTTTGTCGACATGGTTTTTCCGCCAAATATTTATTTACTGGCCGAGTTTCTTCCGTAGCCTTCAGTAGAGCCTTTATATATTCTGGCACCTGGGGAGAGTTATTTTCTTTGCTTGCTTTCTAATTTGCCGTGGTTTTAACGCTAAAGGCTGGCAATAGTAGACCTACTATCTAGGGCTGTGGTTCGATTAGATAAATACACTCTGGTGGTGGTTCCGACAGCAATCTCGAAAGGTCCGACAAACGAACTTCCGACTCCAGTGACAATTTTCTTAACACAACTAATTTATGCTACTTAACAACCATGTTAACCCGAGGTGTCCTTGCACTGTGAGGGTAATGCCGTGCTTTTGCATCACTATTCTTCAAAACATGGGGCATAGGGAGACAGCTGGGACGTGCTGGTTTCAGCTATCTTCGATGTCGTGCTTCATGCATGTTTTAATATCTGGGCTTACTATTTAGGAGGCAGTTGCCGCCTGAAAGTTAGCGAGACAGACATTTTGCTATTTATTTGCCGAATATATACTTGGCATAATATTTCCATTTGATCGAAGAATAATTTATTTAACGGGTCTATTGGGTTTCCTTTAAAGACGTTTATTTTGACAGAGCTATCCCTCGACACAGAAGAGCAGAAAGAATTCCTTGCCCGAAACGTGTATTGTATATCATTCGGTCGCATCTGTGCAATTTTATGAATTTGTTATTGATTGTTTGGGGCTTTTTCAAAAAAATTTGCGTGAGCGCGAACTATAAACATTTTAAAAAATGGATACTCTCATAACCTATATAACATGACAATAGTGTCATGTAAAATTACCTTTTCATAGAAAATAAGCATGTACATAAGAGAACCTGTATGCAAAATTAACTCGTGTATAAGTCTTTCTATGTACGGGGTTTCTTCAAAGGGCCACTGAAATAGCTTGTGAATTGTTATGATGTACCCTATTCACGTAATTATCCATCATACCGAAAGTGTTGACTGAAACTATACCCCATCGACTTTTACCTGAACCGTCGATTTTGACAATCACAAAGAAACAAACTCCTCATTCACCTACAAAGTTAAATTTGTTTCATATAATCTGCTGCATACCCGAGATGGCCCATCCCATCCAATAATTATAATAAGCTTTTCTTGGATGGGATTATTAAAACCGTTACATTTAAATCTAAGTTCGTTGGACTAGTTGCACACAGCACCTGTCAATTATCCACATGACAAATAAGCACGCGTCGGTGTCCCAGGCGTTCCTGACACGAATTTTGTTGTTGACAAATTTTTTTCTACCTAGTTACTTCTGGTTGTTACATGCCTCCTACATACATACTTCGAGTTTCGTTTTTACTCAAGTTCGTAATGCCCTGGGCTATGCGGACTAGGCGTGTGCTATCGACACTCACCATCTGCATAACTGTAATTGCTCTCGAATTAATCGTCCGCTGTTGGGTTAGAAATGCCATTAGGTAAATCTTCCTTTGACAGGCGCGTGTAATGGGTCAGATCTGCCGTGAAAACCAACCAGGGCCACGTACCTCCTGGTGACATTTTAAGGGATTCTTCCTCATAGTTTTCCTAATTCGACCATAGCTTGCACTTCAGTGCTGCAATATAACAGTCTTACTGCTTTGTGGTCCTGTGTCAGAGACGCTTTACACGCTCTTGTTATTAATAGCTGTAAGAACGTACAAACAGCGCGCTATTGTATGCCGTTACGTCATACAACCTGTTCGTGCAAGCTTCTCCCTTCTTAATCAACAGGGCTATTCATAAGTTTAGGGGGTTATCACAGCTCACAGACTCTGTTGTGACAATTCTATTGGTACTGCACCCGAGCGCGTACTTAGAGGCTTTAACAGCTTACATGCTATTCGTAGCTTTTATATTAGTTATCCCCCCACCCTACATGTCTTTGTTATGAACAACCCGGCAGAAAAAGACTGGCATCATCCTTGTTGTCTGATCTCAGCTGCGAGTAGTTTTGTCTTGAAAGCAGGTTAGAGTAGCGTCTTTGCTTTCCAATACAAATTTTTATGTCTTAATTACTTGTTACTTTTGCGAAATTTATGCCTTTAAATAGCACTGTGGAGTCCGCTGTTATAGGCATCGCACTAAAAATTGCCACAAGTAAACAGACGTAATTTATCACTGGGTTGTTGGAAGCATTTGTTATGCTACCGATACTCACATCTTCATAAATGTGATAATGAATAGCAAAGCTAGTACAAATCGGTTCTCAAGGTATATATTTCCGTGAGACCCGTTTCCCAGAGGAGTCATCTGATCCTTCTTAGCTAAGTCGCTTACGTCTTCAAATCTCTTTAAATGCTGCTAGAAGGGCAGTAATAATCGTCGCTACGAACCCTAACACATTGGAGTAGCCCAACTCTCCCCAAAAATTGCTTATCAGACTATACAAGCAATAGTACTAAAGCCCATGGTGCCTTTGGAATAGGGTATGCAGTTTGGTGGCCCGCTTTTAGTTTGAATTCTCCACCTGTGGTCCTCTCTATGCTATTTACTCGTCTCTTCTGACCCATATTAAGTCCGTTTTAACTGTTTGTTTTCTTTCCTCTAATGCTTTTCCTTATCTGTTCAGGATTTGAGTCAGATAGAATGGGCTTGCAAAGAGCTGTACACCACATCCGATCCGGTCATACGCACCCAA